ATAAAAGAGGAAACCGTGGAGCGCCCCATAATTAAGCATGAAGAGCACTTTTTTGAGACTCGAGATACAGTAGAGAAACGTTTCCCATGTTTGAGATGTGGAGAAAGATTTCTACAAAAAGAATATTTAAAGGTTCACATGAGAACTCACACAGGTCGGAAGATTTACGAATGTCAGTCTTGTGGAAAAAGCTTCAAATATAAAGTTGTTATTAATAGACACATGAGAATTCACACCGGTGAGAAGCCTTTCAAATGTGAGTTCTGTGGAAAAAGCTTTACTGAAAAATGCACTCTTGATCAACACATAAGAATTCACACAGGTGAGAAGCCGTTCAAATGTGCCTTCTGTGGAAAAGGTTTTACTCAGACATCTGTTCTTAATACACACACTAGAATTCACACGGGTGAGAAACCGTTTCCCTGTAGTTTTTGTAACAAAAATTTTAGGAGAAAAAGTAACTTGACTGCTCACATGAGAATTCACACGGGTGAGAAGCCTTTCAAATGTGAGTCCTGTGGAAAAAGCTTTGCCGAAAAAGGCACTCTTGATAGACACATCAGAGTTCACACAGGCGAGAAGCCTTTCAGATGCGAGTCCTGTGGAAAAAGCTTTTTTCGGACATCTGAGCTTAATAAGCACGCCAAAATTCACACGGGTGAGAAGCCGTTCAAATGTGACTTCTGTGGAAAAAGCTTTGCTCATAGATTTGATCTTTCTAACCACACCAGAACTCACACGGGTGACAAGCCATTCTCCTGTAGTCTTTGTGGCAAAGATTTTATTAGAAAATCTAGCTTGACTTCTCACATGAGAAATCACACAGGTGAGAAGCCTTTCAAATGTGAGTACTGTGGAAAAGGCTTTACCTTAAAAGGCTCTCTTGACAATCACATCAGAATTCATACAGGCGAGAAGCGGTACTTCTGTACCCTTTGTGGCAAAAGTTTTTGTCAACAGGCTAGTATGACTTACCACATGTCTACTCATGTGCAAAATGTTTGCCATCCATGAAACGGATCTTACAAGAGGTCACATCAGTTAGATGCCACAGAAATGAACAGGAGAGACGTTTTCCATGTTTTATCCGTGATAAAATGTCCATCTGGAAACTGGATCAATCAATGGATAAAGATGGGAAGTGTTTCTTTGCACTAGAATGGATCATTTGGAATGAGGTTCAGATATTGGAGAAAGAGATTTTACATTTTTTTCCATTAAAGGTGCAGTAGCAGATCCTGGAAAAATGGTTCCAGCAAGCTTTTAATTTTGAACATACTCAACCATGCCTCTCCCTTCAGACCTCGAAGCCACGTCTTCAAAACACCTGAATGCTGTCCGTCGAGGTGTTCAGATGAGATCGAGAATGAAACAAGCTGTGACACGAGCTGACAACATAATGCTACGTTCACACCTAAAGCAGTAGAGGCAGCAAAATCAGCTAGTTTACATGCAAAGTCAATGGTTGACGCGCATCACACGCAAAAGGTCCTGCAGGGCTTCTGAGCAGCAGGAGCAGTGCGTCTCTGATCTGGGAGCTGGCAGGGAGTCAGACACAGCACTGATGATGCAGAGCGCTATGATCACTCCTCTGAAACAGTTTATTGATGCCTAAATTAACTTAAAATGCCAAAATCTGCGGGCAGAACATGTTCGCTTTTATTATCCTGGTGCCTGCAGTTTGGATCATGTACGTGAAAAAAACTTTCCAGCCGCCGCTGTAAACTGCGAGGAGGCGACTGGGCCAGAGGCAGCTGCTGCTGGGGATTCCCAGTGACAGTGCACCGCCGGTGTGTGGGGGTCTGAGCGGCTCTGACAAAAATAATATTTGAAGGCAGGATGGTAATCTGGATGAACTGACTGCACAGGCCATGTTTTCAGGAGGACTTTCTCACTTCAAAATAGATTCAAACTACTTTTTACCTGCTGATCACAGCTAATATAGCTGCCATTGTTCCAGGCAAAGAAAGGATAGAGTAGCTCCGCCCAACACGCATCAGAGGCGCAACTAGAGCAGGATCAAAGCATGAAAGCATTAAAAATTAAGCAGCATTAGCGTTTTTGCTGCTTTAGGTGTGAACGTAGCATAACAGGGCTAGCTTCCAGCCATGGCGTCCTGCATGAGCATTGGGGGGTCGATTTGTTCATGTGTCAGGTAGGGGTGTAAATAATAATCGTTTTGTATTGATCTATCGATCCAACAGCCAACGATGCAAAGCATCGACACGTCCGCAAGATAAGAAACTCATATTTTTCTTTTTTTTCTTCCGGTTTATTTTTATCCATTTGCTCCTGGGTGTAATTCTGACTCCCGTGCTGCAGGGGCGCTAAACCTATTTTGCTATACAGTGTGGGTCTAGATACGACCGAGGCGATGAGGTAGTGGGGTCCGACAACGGAGGTACATGACTGTGAAAAAGAGCGGGGATCCAGGTGGAAAAAGGGTCCCAGCGTTCTCGCACCCCTCGCTCTTCTAGCTGGTCCAACTTCACGAGTTGTTTTCCGCAATTGCGGTCATAAAAACAAAACAAGCCGGCGTCCTTTCTGCGCTCACCTACAATTTGGGAGAGGTGTGTCTGTGGAGTGGGCAGGGACTTCGACACTCAGGAGCCGAGGTATTGCATTGCACTGTTTTTGTGCAGTATTTTTTGATGCAAAGCCTTTCAGAATCTATAACGCAGGGGTATTATTATTTTTCAGTGAATGAGGTTTTAATAGGAATAGATGGAGTGCAACTTTTCCACTTCTGTTATTTACTGTTGTTTCTCTAATAAAATGCATAACGATATTACAGCTTTCATTGATTTATTTAAAATGTGAAACATTGTCTAGACTGTAAGGTTAAAAAAAATGAACCAATTAATCGAATCGTATCGTGGTGTATTCTTGAGAATCAAAAGTAATCGAATCGTTGGATCAGGAAATTGATACTAAATCGTATCGCCATGATGGGTGTGATTTACACCCCTAGTGTCAGGGGTGGGAGGGACAAGCAGACGACCGTGATTGACGTGTCAGGAATCAATTGTGTACAACGGACCGTGTTTTGTGATTGGTGGGGTTACTCATTGATTTCTCACTGTAGCGGGGACCATTTATTTTAGTTTCACTTCCAGACCTTCTATTTCACTGCTTGCTAAGCGGCTTTTTAATATTTTTAAGCCACATGGTAAAAAACGCGTCAGAAAAGATCTCCTACTGCATCTTTTAAATGATTTGAAGTCTGTATTGATATTCACCTGAAAATCATATTTGCTTTTTTTGTTTCTGCTTTTTAAATATCTTTTGCAGTGAAAACTTTCTTTGAATTTTTTTCTAATCGTTTTGTTTCTGATTCTGTAGATGTTTTAATAACCTGCTGCGATTTCATTGTTTTCCACCCTGGATGTTTTCCATGAATGTATTCACTTCTAGATTATTGAACCAAGCAGAAATAAAAACATGGATTCTAAAAATTGCTTCTTTATATGGTTTCATGTACGTCATAAACAATAATTTTTTCGTGTTTTCTCTATTTTCTCTCTTTTTTTTATATGTTTTGCTCTAAAACTCACAGGAAGTCGACCATTTTGCGTCAAAGGTGGATTTTTTAGCATTTGTTCAATTTCGTTGATGTCAAAGTTTAGCCTTTTATCGTCAAGCCAAGGCTGCCATCCGCCGGAAGGTTCTGGCGCCCACTTGCAGGGTGGGTCAAAAGGTTTGGCTGTCCACTAAAGATCTGCCACTTAATGTTGATAGCAAGAAGCTGGCTCTCTGCTTTATTGGGCCATTCCCTATTGCCAAGTTGGTGAACCCCATTCATGTTTCCCGAGTTAAACCCGTAAAGACCTACAGGTTGGTGCCTGCCGCTAGATCACCTCAACCATCCTGATTCATTGAACCGTCTTCTGAAGTCTAGGTGGAGAGGCACAGGGCTCCCGTATTTGGTTGACTCGGGGGGCCTGAGGAAAGGTCCTGGACCAGGATCTGGTCGGAGCCTTCCACAGGGATCACCCTGATCAGCTTGTTGGGGTGTCTGGAATCCACCTTTGAAGGCAGGTTCTGTCCTAATCCTGATGGTTGGCTTTTTTCCCTGCACCTGCTCACCTGTCTAATTGGCCCCGCGGCTGATCACTGCCGATCTGCTTCACCTGGTCCCTGCAGCTATTTATGCTGTTTGCCTTCCTGCCATCAGTGCCAGATTATTCTGCTTTGGTGAGAGTCATTCTAGCCATCAAGTAAGGGGTTTGTCTTTTTGCCTCTTCCCTGTATGCTCTGTTTAGTTTGATTTATGGTCTGTCTTCCTGAATTCTGCCTGTTACCGTACTTAGACTAAGTTGCTAACCTCGGCTTAGATTCTCTTTGGATAACTCTTTGGCTCTCAGGTCACTTGTGTCGTGAAAATTGTTCTTAGGCTTTGGATTATTTCTCAAGGACACAGTTGCTTGCTCCCGTTGCTGGTGCCAGCTCTCCTGCATCCTGTACTCAGAAGCAATTTTATGTTGTTGTAAAAAAAAAAAAAACCCACAGACTTTAAGACAGGATTTCTTTTAAATAGAAATATTCTAAATTTTGGAACAATATTGTCTGACAAAGGTAACATTTATATACATGTTTAAGCAAGAATGATTTGACATTTAAATATGATTTCCAGACAACTTTCAACAGTCAAGGAGTTACGGTCTTGGGCCTGCAAAGATGACAAATAATGAGGGAATCTGCTGCTGTGAATTAGGCATTTTTTCTTCCATTGGGTCACGTAATCTAAAAGGGTTGCAATATCAAGGGTATTAATTAAATCAAATCTTTGAATTAGTGTCATGTACGTGCGTCTGTTTGCGTGTGTTTGGTTATTAGACCGAAAAAAGACAGAGATATGAGACCTTTCTAAAAGTCAAAGTATGATTTACATTCAAAGAACTGTGTAACATCCCTCCTAAAACACCTTCACTGGCTCCAGAAAGCAGCAGATCCATTTCAAGATCCTCCACCGCATTATAGAGCTCTCAATAACCATGAAAAAAATATATTAGTTTTGTTAAGTGCAAAAATTAAAATGTATTATTGTTATATATCATTATGATCATCAACAAAATGAAAAAATACAATCTATGAATGTGATTTTATACATCCAAACTCTAAGTCTAATTATTTTTATTTCATTGTGTTTGGAGTGTAGCTTTCTTCCTCTACGTTTTATTTATTTATATTTTTACTGGATGGCAAACAACTAATAGTGCATTTATGCAAAGCAAAGCCTGCAGCCCCCACTGTGGCTCCCGTCCGCTCCGCTCCGAGTCCCTTGGAGATGGTAGAGAGCATGCGCGAGATGATTAAATTCAAAGCAGCAAAACATACGGAAATGATCCAGGGTTTCCGTGGATCACTGTGCGCGCGACACCATGACCTGACAGCTAGGGCCTACCTGTTTGATTCGCGATTGTTTACTACTGGGGAAGATGTCTGACTACGAGAGCGACGAGGAAAACTTCGACTTCCACTTAGAGC